ATCGACCACCATCACCACCATCACCTACTCACCATCACAACCATCACCCCACCACCATCACCACCACCTCAACACACCAACTCACCACCACCACCACCATCACCACCACCATCACCACCACCATAACCACCACCCATCACAACCATCACCACCACCACCATCACAACCATCACACCACCATCACCAACCATCACCACCACCATCACACACATCACCACCATCACCACCACCATCACCACCATCACCAGCCACCATCACCACCATCACTACCCACCATCACCACCATCACCACCACCATCACACCATCACCACCACCATCACCATCACCACCACCATCACACCCATCACCACCACCATCACACCATCACCACCACCATCACAACCACCACCACCACCATAACCACCACCATAACCACCACCATGACCACACCATCACCACCACCACACCACCATCACACCACCATCACCACCATCACCACCACCATCACCACCACCACCGCCACCACCATCACAACCATCACCAACCATCACAACCATCACCACCACCATCACAACCATCACCAACCATCACCACCATCATCACCACCACCACCACCAACCATCACCACCATCACAACCACCATCACCACCATCACCAACCACCATCACACCATCATCACCACCATCACCACCATCACAAACCATCACCACCACCATCACCACCACAACCATCACCACCACCATCACAACCATCACCACCATCACACCATCACCACCATCACCACCACCATCACCACCACCATCACCACCACCATCACCACTACCACCACCATCACAACCATCACCAACCATCACCACCATCACCACCACCATCACAACCATCACCACCACCATCACAAACCATCACCAACCATCACCACCATCACCACCACCATCACAACCATCACCACCATCACCACCATCACCACATCACCAACCATCACAACATCCCACCACCACCACCACCACCACCATCACCGCCACCAACACCATCACCGACACCACCATCACCACCACCATCACCACCATCACCACCACCATCACCACCATCACCACCATCACCACCATCACAACGATCACCAACCACCACCACCACCATCACCACCACCATCACCATCACCACCACCATCACCACCACCATCACCACCATCACCACCACCATCACCACCATCACCAACTATCACCAACCATCACCTACACGGGGGACCTTTGTGTATAGCTACTAACAGCACTTGCCCCTACAGCTGCTAGAGGCTACACGGGGGACCTTGTCTGTGTATAGCTACTAACAGCACTTGCCCCTACATCCTGCTAGAGGCTACACGGGGGACCTTTGTCTGTGCATAGCTACTAACAGCACTTGCCCCTACATCCTGCTAGAGGCTACACGGTGGACCTTTGTGTATAGGTGCTTACTAACAGCACTTGCCCCTACAGCCTGCTAGAGGCTACAAGGGACACCTTGTCTGTGTATAGGTGCTACTAACAGCACTTGCCCCTACATCCTGCTAGAGGCTACACGGGGGACCTTTGTCTGTGTATAGCTACTAACAGCACTTGCCCCTACATCCTGCTAGAGGCTACACGGGGCACCTTTGTCTGTGTATAGGTGCTACTAACAGCACTTGCCCCTACAGGCCTGCTAGAGGCTACACGGGGCACCTTTGTCTAAAGTCTCACTCTCGCAGTCACGGGGGGGGGGGGGTATGCCAGGCCCACCCCAGCCGGCCAAGGTGCGACCTCGGCCGGCTAAGCAATCTAGCTGAGACCGGTGGCACTCCCCGGGACTAGGCCTTACCGCAGGGCTCACCGGCGCAACGCTGCGTCGACGTCTTGGGGAGGGGTTCTTGAGTGATGTTCTCCGTCGTTGTGAGCTCACACACTCAACATGTCCTCGTGTGGAGTGCAGCAGCAGCAGGAGGAGGTCCGACGTCGCGTGCCGATACCTCGGGCAGGAGGCTGCAGGCCAGCTGCGATCTCGTGAGATTGGCAGGGCGCGTTTATAATACGTAGTGCGGATAGGCGACCACGTGACGCGAGTGCGACTCGGATTCCGTAGAACTGATAAGACTGCGCGCTGCGCCGTAGACTCAACACTGCGGCTCAGCCGACGTTCAGGTCCCCTGGGGGGCGTGCGAGTCACGTGGTGGGGTCTGTGACGTCACGGGGCACACGGCTGACTGTTCCACTCCTGCCAAGCTCGATAATATTTTTTATATTTTTTTTATTTCTCGTCACATCTCTAACGTCTTAACAGGAGCTTCAAAACAGCAACATCGAGAGCGACAAGAGGTCAGTGCACTTCCAGGCTGGTTCACCAATGTGAAGATGTCACAGACACTAACGCTGGAAGTAACATTTAAATTTGATTTTAAAAAATATTGCGCTTGGAGAATGCGGGAATCGATCCCACGTATCTTCTACTTCTTGGTTCTTTCGGTAAAGTCCCGTAGAAGGGAAGTAATAAAATAATAAAAATAAACATAATAAAATAATTCTCACGACGTTTCGGCCACAACGCAAGTAGCCGTCCTCAGGTGAAGAATGAACACCACCAAGCTAGGAGCGTATATATAAGCTGCGTTGGAGGGGGGTGGGTGGGAAGAAGAGCGCCTAACAACATAATTTGCATATCAAGAGTAATTTAGCATATGAAAAATGCGTAGGAGGTGGATGGAGGGTTTCAAGTTAATAGTTATGCCCGTGCATTATGCAGGATCAGCAGCATCAAAGGGAGGGGGAAGGGGGTAGAATTAACAAAGGAAAGGAATGTTCATAGTATGTAGCTGCAGTTACTAAACAACCACGTAAAAAACTAAAGTATAAACTACATAAACAACTAAAGTATAAACTACATAGCACCATCAGTATACTTACTATACTTTACAATAAGCTGAGTTACTAACAGTAAGTAATACATTACAATTCTACCTCGTAAAAATTATATAATATGCTTCCATCTAAACTTTATTCTCTTACATCACACGAGTCTACACCGTACTATATACTGCCATAGACAAACCCAACATTAAATTATATACTGTATTACTATAACACTGTGTATTATTCTACTCACCCTGTGTATCACACTGTTATTTATTTACTATACAATTACGATACTATATATTACTTTGTTCATTGTATTAAGCATAGAGGATATGGGAAATGCAGGTATGTGAATAGTACTAATTCAGCATCAGCAGCTACATACTATTAACACTCCTTCCCTTTATTAATGCTACCCCTATCCCCTCCCTTTGATGCTGAATTAGTTTAGAGAGACAAGAAACTTTAGAGAGACACGAGTCGTATTGAGGAGGCACTCTGTTTTATTATCGCCGTCACAGGCAACGATGCCAGGGTCAGGACAGCAACAGGCTGCCTGGCCAACAACGATGCAGACGATGCCGAAGGTGATGACGTAGACTTGTGCAGCTCCATGGATTCCACTTCAAACAACAACAACGACAAATCTCGATTTAAAGCTTTCGTGACTGCAGGGATTAATCTTCTTGGTTCTTTCGGTAAAGTCACGTAGAAAGAAAATAATACAAATAAAACATAAAATAATTCTCCACCTGAAGACGGCTGCTTGCGTTGTGGCCGAAACGTCGTGAGAATAATTTTATGTTTTATTATTTTATTATTTTCCTTCTACGTGACTTTACCGAAAGAACCAAGAAGAACAACAACGCCCCCTTCTAGGACCCTGCCAGAAGGTTCCCGGCTTACTTCACGTCCCCTCTGTCAGCCGATCCCCTGACCTGCTGACACACCGGGCTGACTTCAACTGCAGGCCCCCTTGTTGCCAGCAACCAGCGCTACACACCGTCGTGTGACCTATTCCAAGTCACTGCACACTGGCCCGTCTTCTCCATGAAGATACAAACAACACCGTGTTCTTGGTTCTTTCGGTAAAGTCACGTAGAAGGGAAATAAGAAAAATATAAAACAATAAAATTATCTTTTTGGTTCTTTCGGTAAAGTCACGTAGAATGACTTTACCGAAAGAACCAAGAAGATGAATCTCTGCAGTCACGAAAGCTTTAAATCGAAATAAAATTATACAATTTTTTTAAAATTTACTTGCTGTGGTTTTCACACCTGACGGTGATTGCTTGTGTTGCAGTCGAAAGGTCGTGAGAATTTAATTGGTTTATATTTTTATTATCCTTGCAGTCACGAAAGCTTTAAAACAAACACTGCCGTTACCTGTGACTGCACTCATCTTACTTGTGTGTGTGTGTGCATTAAAACCTGGATTGTATTTCTGAGGGCAAGAGTTTGGAATGTCTTTTGGTAAAGGAGCACGAAGTCACATTGCATCCAGACCCCCCTAAACCCTTCTAGATGCAAGTCAAAATTAACAAGTGCAATGTACAGGTTTCCCTCGCTGTCTGCGCTAGTAGAAGATGCGTTTCAAAAAGGGCACACAAAGCGACACCGCACAAGGATACAGCTGCCTGCCGAGTAGTGTGGACAGTACACACACACAATCTTGTCCTACATCCGAGCGCGTAGCCGCACGTGACTTAAGTGAAACCGCATCTCGCGAATTTTGGGTATGAACCGGCTTGCCCCATAAACAGCGCAAAATCGCACAAACAGGAAGCCGTATAATGCGAGGAGAATCTGTAGCTCTTCTCTCGCAGACGCAAACTTGGGCTGCGCGTCCTGGGAACACAATATCGGTGTGTAGCTGCAAGTTAACAGCTTCTTGGTTCTTTCGGTAAAGTCACGTAGAAGGGAAATCATAAAATAATAAAAATAAAACATATTAAAATACAATTCTCACGACGTTTCGGCCACAACGCAAGCAGAAGAACAGGTCTGTCGGAAAGACAGCGTCTGTCTTTCCGACAGACCTGTTCTTCACCTGTTCTTCTGCTTGCGTTGTGGCCAAAACGTCGTGAGAATTGTATTTTATAATGTTTAATTTTTATTATTTTATTATTTCCATTCTACGTGACTTTACCGAAAGAACCAAGAAGATGAATCCCTGCAGTCACGAAAGCTTTTAATCGAAAGATAACAGCCGTTTGAATTTGGGGCCACGTCTTAAATTTCAGGACAATGGGTTGAGAGTTGTGCAGTGAGGCCAGGATGAAAACATTTCTAGTTCCGGCCAATATCTCGTGAAGTCATACAGAATTATAACCAGTCTTGCGTTAAAGTTTACACCAAACACTCGTGCTATATAACAATAAACAAAATGCAGAACGAAACTGCTCTACAGACTCTAACGAAAAGCATTAAAACTAAGTTATTCAGATGATTTTCATCCATGTGCTAACAAAAAACGTGCTATTGAATTGGAATCAAGGGCTTTCACTGTTAAACTGTGCCTCAGATTTCAGCCACGGCAGCTGAGGTTGTCTTCGGCGGTGGTTCAAGTCAGTCTAGCAGCCGTGCTTTAGGCCGTGGCTGCAGGCAGCGAGCAGTCACCTCACAGCGGACTGTGGCAATCTCTACGGTGGCAAGTCAGGTGAGCTTACAGCAGACCGCACCTATTGAGGCATGGCGGGTCTTGTATACGCTGAGTAATGGCAAGTTGAGTTGCACTTGGGCTGTCAGTGGTAGTAGCCCTTGGCGGTTGAATGGGGCAGTGCTTGTCCCAGACAAGGCCATGGTTCAGTGGCAAACTGTGGTAGTGCTCGGTGTTTGGAATGTATCACTCACAGACCGTGGCAAGTGGAATGGCTTAGTGGCTGACTGGGACATGTCATGGCATGTTGAAAGAGTCAGTGGCTGGTGGCTGTGGCGGGCTGTGGTGGTCCGTGGTGATCTGTGGTGATCCGTGGTGGTTTCATGTTGAGTCAGGGTGGAGAGGCGTCAGCTTGGCTCGTTTCGAGAGGCCAAGATGCAAGGCCGGACCTGATGTGGTTAAAGGGTTTTTTGGGGTTAGGCTACGACAGTAACACACGCTAACTCACATTTTAAATGTTTTAAGTCGTCATTATTTTTGGTGACTGCCGTGGCATGGAAAGGCCTTCATCCTTGGGTGGATAAACAAAGGACTGCAAACCATTGTGGGATTTTTCATCATTATTGTAAAGTTACTCCGAGGATTACACATACTTAGTTGCCACGTGACCATTGACTCCTCCAAAGTAAGTAGAAGAACGTCGTCATTTGGAGTCACAATTCGATAAAAAAACATTCTCTTTTTGAAACTTTTTTAGTTTTTTCTGCTTCCTTTGAAGAGTTTTGTCTGCTCCATTAGCATTCCGCGTACACACACTCAGACATGCTCTATCCACTGCGAGATGAAGGCCTCTCCGAAGCTGCCGCCATCCCTCACGCTCGCACAACAATGAATCTAGCACACACACTCGGATATCCTCGCTCCGTCGACCCCGCAAGTGGACGTGTTCCCACTCCGCCGTGAGTGTCGCTCACGGCGAGGTAGCAACACTCGGCACTGCCAGGTGCAGACCATCTCGCGCTCTCACACCTACATCACCCGGAGAGCTACGGTGGTCATCACTCATCAAGGCCTCGATACAGAGACGTTGCTTTCTCTGTGTGCCTATGTTTGTTCCCTCTCTCTATGTATCTCTGTGATATCTGTCTCCTTATATGTCTGTCTATATGTTTCTGGTTCTGTGTTTTTATCTCTCTCTCTCAAATGTAGTATTCTCAGGAAGAACATAATCAACCAGGTAGGGTGTAGACTGTTATGTTATCCGACTCTCTGTTGTATTACATTCCATTTCTAAGTATACTAGATTTGTGTTTCTATTTCATTTATTCCTGATGATGATTGCTTGTGTTGCAGTCGAAACGTCGTATGCTATTATTTCATTTATTATTTTATCTTTATACGTGACTTTACCGAAAGAACCAAAGAGTCATTCCTGCAGTCACGAAAGCTCCAAATTAAGATTGTACTTAGCAGGCTCAAATCCCTGCTTAGCTTCCTAGACAGACCCAGTGGAGGTGAGGCACATCCATGGATGGTTTCATCGTGGGAAAACGTGAAAGGCGTGCGAGTTAGAAACACGTGCGCTTGTGCCGGCCGTGGTTTCGATGCTTTGTCCTTACCTGGAGGAACCCACTTGGGTAGAGGCGATGCGGTGGCACGATCCGCGACGCCGGCTTCGTTGAACGCGGGCGGGGGGAGGCGCTTCGCTGATTGCCGAGGGGCAGGATCTGGCCCGACATCCGCCCCGGCTCCAGGCGCCGCGCCCGTTGTTCTGCTGCCCCTGGCCACGGCGGCTTTGCTCCCTCTCCTGTTGGCGGTGGCGGCGGTGACCCTAGGCACCTTGAACTTCCAGAAGGGCTTCTTGTGGTCGCTGTCATCGCTGTCGGACTTCCCAGCGGACTCCGAGGACTCGCCCGTCTCGTTGTCTGTCGTGTTTTAGACAACATGTGATTACCCGTCGTCGTCGTGGTCGCTGCATTGTGGACACTGTTGTTTCATATTTCTGATCGGTCAGAATTACTTTACCAAATAAAAGCAAGTATTCCAATGTGGTCATGGCACGTATTGAATGTTTGCCAAATATTACTATTGAAAATTTTTTTTTGGGAACAATACAGTCGTAGTGATAGTGCTACAGAGTCAACTAAAGCTTCAATTCAAGATTTTATCTCGACTTTGAAAAATCAATAAAGAATACGATACGATTTAGGAAAAAGCCAGCAGGAGACTGCTGTGTGGTTTGAACAGAGGGCAACACATGAGCATCCTCAGTGGCCTGGCACTGCCATGCAAAACTAAACAACTTTGTGTCATCAGGTAAGGCCCACTGAGCCAAATGTCTCTTCTTCAGAAGCGACTTGGCTATCACAAATGGTAGCTCAAGAAAGTGAGCAATTATCACGTGGAGATGTATCGCGGCGAAATATTCTAAATGTAGAGGGAAAACTGGAGGACCCGAAGAAAAATCCACGTGACCACGGGGAGAGACACGCAAACTCCAAATATACAGCAGCAGGCGTCAGGGTCGGGATCGAACGCACGACCTTCTGTACACCAGACGAGGAAGTGAAACATCTCCTAGCCACCGTACAAACACATAGATTCCCCGTACAGCCATTCAGAGGCTGTTGTGGCAGCTGCCGTGAGCGAGCACGTATGAAGGTCGGCACGGCATACATGGGGGTGGATGGCCAGCACCACGCCTGGAATTGCACCAAGTACTCATTTGAGGCTGAGTCGACCTCGGAGAGGCCCAGGACTGGTTCATATAATCGTTACTGGTGTTGGCAGTGAGCATCATACATGTCCACACACGTGCAAACATACAGAAAGCCACAAATCTGTAGAGTCTCATACCGGGTGGGTCGTCCGTGTTGACGGTGGCACTGCCCACGGCTTCCTGTGAACTCTCCCGCGAAGACGCCGCCACTTCCGTCTGATCACCAGCGAGGGCAAGGACCTCCTTGAGCTCCCTCTCAAAGAGACGCTCGTCGTCCAGGGACGGTCTGCGCAGAGTGGCGCAAAGTGCGATTGCAAACGACGACAATGCACAGAGGTTGGTGTGGGCAGTGCAATCTTCTTTTCTTCTTATATATAAGAGTCTCCGCGCGCTTGCGGGGGATTTGGCTCTTGGACGGTGGGCTTCACATAGAAATAAAATTGGCAGGCGGCACGCCCTAAGCCCCGCGGTGGGAATAGGCTATTCCGTTTCCCCATCCGTAAAGTTTAAAGTTGTTTAATTAACACATTTGTGCGGTTTCTATTATTAATTACTTACTTATTGCTCGACATCGACCGTACCAACTGACGCCAATTGCGTGGGGGGGGGGGGGGTAGACACTGCCAAGTGATGCGCGTTCGCACGAGCTCATTTCCTTTTACGCGTTTTACAGCAGGCAAGACGTACATACGTAACTCTGCGGACATTTCTTCACAGTGTCATGTCCTCTTCGCCCCCCCCCCAACACGATGCGTCCACTTTATACTACAGACTCCGTAGATAATAATATTTTACTGCTTACATACCATTATTCTTGCACGGGCGGGGGATGCTGGGGGGGGGGGGGGGTAGCGGCCCAGCCCCTAGCCTGGCAACGTGCCAACTCCGCCGCCTCGCCAATGTAGGCCAGGACGGGGGCTAAGCATGGCACAAGGCCTCAACACGCCTATGCTAAGTACAGAGTTCCTTGCTTCTTACGCTAACAACTCAAGTCCATTGTTTACTATTGTTAAACACATTAGTTTACAAACATTACAATAATAATGTTTGTGTGCTGATAAAAAATATGCTTCATTGCTTAATATTATGAAACAAATACGTTGCCAGATATTACTATATATATATCTTTGTGTGCACATACCAACTCTGGTTCATTGTTTATCTTTCATTTACACTTATCTCTGCTTATTTCTTAAATGCATCTCTATTGTTTCCATCGCTCACGTCACGCTATTTACTCATACGTAGTACTGCGATACTGATAGCTGTGCCATCATCGGGGATTGTTGTGCCCATCGATGTGTGTGTATGAGTCCACGTGTGTGTCTTTGAGTCCATATGTTTGTGCGTGTAGAGCCATGCGTGTCTTTAACTCCATGTCTGTCTTTTTCGAACGGACAACGCCCGATGTGTGTGTGTACGTCAAAGTGTTTGTGTGTGTGTGTCAGTCCAAGTGTGCGTGTAAGTCCATTTGTGTGCGTATCAGTAGCTGTGTGTGTGTTAGTCCATGTGTGTGTGTGTTAGTCCATGTGTGTGTGTGTTAGTCGATGTGTGTGCATGGCTCCATCTGAGTGTGTATGTGTATTCGTGTGTCTATGTGTGTCAGTCGATGTGTATGTGTGTGTTAGTCCATATGTGTGTGTGTGTAAGTCCACATGTGTGTGTAAGTCCATACATGTGTGTGTGTCTCACTCGATGTGTGTGTGTAAGTCAGTGCGCGTGTGTGAGTCGACATGTGTGTGTTAATCCATGTGTGTGTCAGTCTATGTATGTGTGTAAGTACATGTGTGTGTAAGTACATGTGTGTGTAAGTACATGTGTGTGTAAGTACATGTGTGTGTAAGTACATGTGTGTGGGGAGCGGTAGTGTAGCGGTTAGCGCGCTGCGCTATGAACCTGGCGACCCGGGTTCGATTCCCGCTCACGGCTAACACCAGTGACGATTATCTGAACCGGTCCTGGGCCTCCCCTAGGTCGACTCAGCCTTAAATGAGTACCTGGTGCGGTGTGTAAACATCGCCACTGGGGAGACAAAGGCGGTCGGGCGTGGTGCTGGCCACCTACCCCCTCATGTACCGTTCCGGCCTTCATAGGTGCTCGTTAACAGCACTTGCCCCTACAGTCTGTTAAGGCTATACGGGGGATCTTTGTTTATGTCAATGTGTGTGTTAGTGCACGTATGTCTGTGTGTGATTCCATGTGTGTGTGTCTGAGTCGCTGTATGTGTGTACGTCCATATATGTGTGTGTAACTCCATGTGGGTGTATCTAAAGTGGATGTCTATGCGTGTGTGAGTCCATATGTATGTGTGCGTCAGTCCATGTGTGTGTGTCTTAGTCCATATGTGTGTGTGTGGCTCACAGGGCTATACCTAATAAATGAACTTGAACTTTAAATGTGTGTTTACGTCAATGTGTGTGTGTCAGTCCACGTATGTCTGTGTGTGAGTCGGTGTGTATGTGTGTGTGTGAGTCCCTGTATGTGTGTACGTCGATATGTCTGTGTAACTCCACGTGTGTATGTCAAGTGTGTGTGAGTCCATATATGTGTGTGTAAGTCGATGTGTTTGTGTGAGTCGATATATGTGTGCGTCTCAGCCCATGTGCGTGTGTGTTAGTCGCTTTGTGTGCGTTGCTCCTTGTGAGTAAGTGTAAGTCCATTTCTTTGCGTGTCTGTAGGTCCATGTGTGCGTGCGAGTGAATGTATGTGCTTTATTGACCTGCTCAAGGCCTATGATACCATCAGTAGGCCTGGCCTCTGGGTTGTTCTTCGTGCTTTCGGAGTCCCTCACCCTTTGCTCACGATCCTTAGGACCTTCATGATGGTGAGCGGCCCCACGTCAAACTACGTGGCCGTCAGTCAGAGCCATTCCCTCTACACCTTGGGGTGTGACAGGGATGTCCTCTGGCTCCCACATTATTTTACATATCTTTTGACCACGTAGTTCGTGAAGCCTTCAGTGACCTATACCGGTGGAATTACCATATGGTACAGATACAATAAGAGGCTGATCGACGCCCGGGTGCGGTCAAGGGATGCCTCCCTATTGCTCAACCATGTTATGTATGCCGATGCTCTGGTGATTGCTGCTCACTGCTGCTGAACCTGGAGCTTGTCACTAAGAGGTGGGGCCTCACCATCAGCCCCACCAAAACTAACCATCTGCCTGGGTATTTTATACCATCGAACAATCCAGCCCCACAACTTACAATTGGTGATGCGGCAGTTGTGGAGAGTTGGAGAGATTCCCATACCTGGCCAGTGTGCTCATGACCGGCTCCAGTTTGACAGCAGAGGTCTCACTCCAAATTAGTCGGGCGCCATTATCTTTTCATCGGCTGCGTTACGCTGTGTGGAAGCTACCTGGTCTCTCGCTCCGCATGAAGCACCAGGTCTTCTCAGCCACGGTAATTCCCTCCCTTCTCTACGCTTGCAAAACATGCACCCCCCTAATGGAACATCTTCGCTGGTTACAAACATTTAGGCTGGCCTGCTAACGATACATCCTGCACTTAACCATATGTGTGTGTGCATCTAAGTCGATGTGTTTCTATGTGTGTAGGTCGATGTCTGTGTGTAAGTCTACATGTGTGTCTGCCTTTTACGCCCGGGCAACGCCGGGTACTTACCGCTAGTAATGTTATAAATAAGAGGTTGCTACATAACATGATGGAGCAGCTGGAAGGAGTGAATCCAAACTAGGCATGGAAGGAATTTCCCTCCTGATGGTTTCATGAATTGCCATGATTTGGATTGCAATTCGGCTCAAGAATCTGTTCTTTCGTTACCATTGCAGTGGCTGTCGGAAGCAACTGCGAATCCATGAGATGCAACAGAAACAATACAAACAACGCTGACTTGTAAAACAATGACGAGGTGATGCACTCCATCTGGTGAGCGTCTCTAAGGGACACGCATTTACATCTTGTCATGATGTAACGGCACAATAATAGTAATGTAGTAGTGTGTAGTGTATAGCAGTATAGTGTAGTGTACAGTAGTGTAGTGTACAGCAGTATAGTGTAGTGTACAGTAGTGTAGTGTATAATAGTGTAGTGTACAGTAGTGTGTAGTGTAGAGTAGGTTATAGTATAATGTAGAGTAGTGTGTAGTGTACAGTAGTGGTGCATAGTAGTATAGTGTCGTGTAGAGTATTATTCAGTGTAGTGTATAGTAGTGTATAGTGTAGAGTAGTGTATAGTGTAGTGTATAGTAGTGTACAGTGTATTGTATAGTGTAGAGTAGTGTGTAGTATAGTGTAGTGTGTAGTATAGTGTAGAGTAGTGTATAGTGTAGTGTCTAGTAGTGTATAGTGTAGTGTATAGTAGTGTAGTGTATAGTGTAGCGTATAGTGTAGTGTATAGTAGTGTAGTGTATAGTGTAGTGTATAGTAGTGTAGTGTCTAGTAGTGTACAGTGTAGTGTATAGTGTAGTGTATAGTAGTGTAGTGTATAGTAGAGTAGTGTATAGTGTAGTGTATATTAGTGTAGTGTATAGTAGTGTACAGTGTAGTGTATAGTATTACCTTCCGTCTCTTGCTGTTCCTGCTGCTGTGTTCAAGGCCGTGACTTGACGGGACTTCTTGGTTCCGCTCAAGGCCTTCTTTGCAGGCTTTGCCTTGTCGCCATTTTCATCGTCAGAATTGGTCACCGCTTGAGACATTTTGCTTGGCGGAAGAGAGGCCGATGAGAAGTCACCGTCTGTGGCGATGCAACACGCACACACATTGACGCGCGTACATCGCTGGGTTTGTTAAACCGATAACCATTTTCGGAATCAAATGGCGGTTATGAAAGTCGGGAATTGGAAATAGTTTACGGTGAGATTTTACTACCGGTGCAGAGGGCCTCCACAAGAGGGAGCTGAAAAGAGGAAATTGCCTACTCTCCCACGCTGCGCAGACACATTGGTAGAGGCGGCAAAGCGCCTCCTCGACCACACACGACCAAGCGCGGTGAACTCATTGACACCGCTGGGTGGAAGAGAGGTGGGGAGGGGATTTAAGAGACTTGCCACGTCGGGATATGGAGTTGAACCAGCGGCTTCTGGATTGCAAGCCCACCGCGCTAACCACGGCAGCTCCATTGCGGATGGATCTAATGCGATTTTACTTTGGTAATGAAATGTGACTTGTAATCATTTAAATAAGCCAACGAGTCAATGACCATAATTACAATCGTAACCATCACTACTGTCCACCACGTCGTCTGCCCATAACCATCATATGTATAGATACCTCACATTCTACTCACCGTCGTCTTCAAAGTCCTCAGGCTGAGTATAATCAAATTTCTTGAATCTGCAACACCAATCATTTGGATAAAAGAAAAACAATGAAAGATCAATTCAGGAATAACTCACATTACGTACATGGATTCACGGGCCCACTTGCTGTACTGCCAGGACACCCGTGCCACTGAATTACAATGACACAATGCAAAGCAAGTGCCATGGCAGTGCCTATCGATCTGCAAAGGCGGTTGTCAATCAGTGACATTGAGGCTGCATTGAAACTCGTCGTAATCGATGAACATGACTCCGGGCCAATCAACGAACGTGAAGTGACACCAACTAACTGCCATGACACGTAGCCCGCCAACACTGTCCCAACTGATCCGATGTACCAATGTCATCAATTACACTATACACTACACTGTACACTACACTGTATACTACACTACTATACACTATACTACTAGACACTACACTATATACTACTAGACACTACACTACTATACACTACACTACTATACACTACACTACTATACACTACACTATACACTACTAGACACTACACTACTATAAACTACTCTACACTACTATACACTACACTACTAGCACCACTACTCTACACTCTACACTACACTGTACACTGCTATACACTACTCTACACTATACACTACTAGACACTACACTGTACACACACTATAAACTACTCTACACTATAGGACCTACACTACTATACACTACACTGTACACTACTCTACACTATACACGACTATACACTACACTATACACTACTAGACACTACACTACTATACACTACTAGACATTCACTATACACACTCTACACTATACTACTATACACTATACTACTATACACTATACTACTATACACTACACTATACACTACTATACACTACACTACTACACTATACTACTATACACTACACTATACACTACACACACTCGTGCTGTACTAGTGACGAATTGGCCACGTTCTGTTCACGTGACCACCCCCTCACCAGTTGCTGTGTCGGGTGGTGGCGAGTTTAACGACACAACATTTACACATTGACGCGATCTGCCCCAACCAACAACAACAAACTCCCTCTCTGTTATGAATCAGCCACAGAGCCACTCACGCACCTGAGTAGCCTCGGCATGTCAACTGAAATCTCTCACCCCCCCCAATACAACAACCACAAGCCACCAACGAGAAATAAAACTAAAAAAACACGCGGATAAGAGCCGCGATGACGACGATAACAACAACGATGAGGGATTTCCCTCAAACGTGAGGGAAGTGAACGCCAACTTTGTATAACTGTGAAGTTGCATCAAGTTAAACTTTTGTCGATTAACGCGAATTAGCGAGTTTGGCGCGAAGCCAGATTTGCAAAGCGCACGAGGGGGACAAAGCCGCTGATTCCTCGCAGCCAGTTTCGTCACGATGCAATAATAAAAACTTACGTATACAATATTGTAAGTATGGGTTTAATCTCGTTTAAAATGTGTACAATTAAATAATTATTTATTAGGGGAAGGGAGGGAGGGGTGTTTTAAGTATATAAATGTTGTGGATTGCGTCAAGGCAGAGATGATGGGTGAATGTGTTAACGAATGCGGTAGGCGAATGATCGGTTGGCAGCGTCTTTTCCACGGGGGGTTGTGGGTCACGTGGTGTCACCCCCCCCCCCCCCGGCTTTCGTGATTGGGTGGGTGAGTGGAGGGTGAATTTTGACTTTAAACTTTAATATTCTTGGTTCTTACAGGTAAAGTCACGGAGATGGAAAATAAATAATAAAAATAATAAAATTACATTTTATTAAAAATAATAAGTTTGAAGTCTAAATAATAAATTTAGTGTTTTGCTTTTATTATTTTTTTACTTTCTATCTTCGTGACTTTACAAAAAGAACCAAAAACTTGAATTCCTGCAGTCACGAAAGTTTTAAGTCAAAATTTAATACGACTTTGCATTTACCATTCTATTAATTGAACGTTGCCTTGCAGTGAAACTCGGTTCATAACTCACAAAGGCAGAATCACATTTGGCAGTGTTCATAAGAGCCCATGAACTCAGTAGAGAGCCACAGGTGACAGCGCGTGGCGACACCGACACACACAAAGCGCGCGTCTGGGGGGACATCTCCCACTGCCGCTGTCAGTGACCACCTCCATCAGCCGCACTGCTCTCGGTGCCTGAGCTGGACTCACTTTACACCGCTGGGAACCTCCTGGTTACACCAGCCCACAGGGGATTGTTGTGTCCGTCCGTCCGTCGTGCATAAAAAAATGGGAGGCGTGGGGCTGGGTGGAGAGGGGAGGGGCTGGGTGGGGAGGGTGAGGAGGGTGGGGCTGGGTGGGGAAGGTGGGGCTGGGTGGGGCTGGGTGGGGAGGGTGGGGCTGGGTGGGGAGGGTGGGGCTGGGTGGGGAAGGTGGGGCTGGGTGGGGCTGGGTGGGGAGGGTGGGGCTGGGTGGGGAGGGTGGGCTGGGTGGGGAAGGTGGGGCTGGGTGGGGCTGGGTGGGGAGGGTGGGGCTGGGTGGGGAGGGGCTGGGTGGGGAGGGTGGGGCTGGGTGGGGAGGGTGGGGGGGGAGGGTGGGGCTGGGTGGGGAGGGTGGAGGGGGAGGGTGGGGCTGGGTGGGGAGGGTGGGGGGGGAGGGTGGGGCTGGGTGGGGAGGGTGGAGCTGGGTGGGGAAGGTGGGGCTGGGTGGGGAGGGTGGGGCTGGGTGGGGAGGGTGGGGGGGAGGGTGGGGCTGGGTGGGAGGGTGGGGGGGGAGGGTGGGGCTGGGTGGGGAGGGTGAGGAGGGGCTGGGTGGGGCTGGGTGGGGAGGGTGGGGCTGGGCTGGGTGGGGCTGGGTGGGGAGGGGCTGGGTGGGGAGGGTGGGGCTGGGTGGGGAGGGTGGGGCTGGGTGGGGCTGGGTGGGGAGGGGCTGGGTGGGAAGGTGGGGCTGGGTAGGGAGGAGCTGGGTGGGGAGGGTGGGGCTGGGTGGGGAGGGTGGGGCTGGGTGAGGAGGGGCTGGGTGGGGAGGGTGAGGCTGGGTGGGGAGTGGGAGGGGTGGGGAGGGTGGGGAGGGTGGAGCTGGGTGGGGAGGATGGGGAGTGGGGAGGGTGGGGCTGGGTAGAAAGGAGCTGGGTGGGGAGGGTGAGGAGGTGCTGGGTGGGGAGGGGCTGGGTGGGGAGGGTGAGGAGGAGCTGGGTGGGGAGGGTGAGGGGCTGGGTGGGGAGGGGCTGGGTGGGGAGGGTGAGGAGGGGCTGGGTGGGGAGGGGCTGGGTGGGGAGGGTGAAGAGGAGCTGGGTGGGGAGGGTGAGGAGGGGCTGGGTGGGGAGGGGCTGGGTGGGGAGGGGCTGGGTGAGGAGGGGCTGGGTGGGGAGGGGCTGGTCACCCCGTGGTGCACTCTGCACGCGAGTGAGGAGCACCGCCCTGAGCGCGCCGTGTCAGTGCAACATCCACGTGGGCGCTGCGGGGAGGGAGTCAGCGCACGTGGTGGGGTGTGAGCGCGGTGAGGGAGGGAGAACGGGGAGAGAGACAGGGAGAGGGTGGAGGAGAGAGATGGGGGGGGGGAGATGTGGTGGGAAATGACTTTGACACAGTCCACTGGGCATCTGTAATTGGGTGCTCATCATCAAGTTCTCATTCAGTGGTGGAAAGTCCACGTTCATATGGTCGATCCAGATTTCGGAGATTTTTAACATCGTGGCTCACAGCGCCGCCTGGTGGAACGAAAGGGCATCGCAAACATCCTCCAGCGAATATCTTTATTTGGAGCTTTCGTGACTGCAGGAATGACTCTTTGGTTCTTTCGGTAAAGTGACGTAAAAAGATAAAATAATAAATTTAAAAATAGCATACGACGTTTCGATTGCAACACAAGCAATCGTCATCAGGTATAAAAGAAATAAAAAATCTAACCATAAAACTATAGACAGACACACAATCAGACAGATCTATATTTAAGGCCCCGTCACAGAAACGACCTCTCTCTTTGTGCCGATGTATTCTCTCTGTGTGTCCTTGTGATGTCTGTCTGCTTGTGTGTCTGTCTATAGTTTTCTAGTTAGATTTTTGTTGCTATTTCTTTTATGCCTGATGATGATTGCTTGTGTTGCAATCGAAACGTCGTAATATGCTATTATTCAATTTATTATTTTATCTTTAGACGTGACTTTACCGAAAGAACCAAAGAATAATTCCTGCAGTCACGAAAGCTCCAAAACTAACATTTAAATGTGGTAAGCAATGTGGGACATCGATGTACACAGATATGAACAAGATCAGCAGACGAGACGTCTTTCATTTAATCGTCTCTCCACGAAACAAAGGAACGTTTTACACAAAATATAAATCCCACGGCCTTGTGCGAGTCCATGACTAGTGCAGCAGTGACTCAGTGCGAGGCAGCTGTGGACCGGTTCTTGTGCACGATGTCTCAACAGCAGTCAGGGCTCGCTTCTACCCACGGTTGTCAACATCCAGACGTTCATCAGCAAGGAACATTTCTTGTCCTAGTTCACCAACATAAGACGTCATACAAAATCCTAATTAGCGTTGGGTAGAATGTATCTACTCGATGTGCTCTGCCTTGTAACTGAACACAAAATTGTAAAAAAAATGCATTTTAAATGTACTCTTAAAATTACCTCCTTGCTATGAAAGAATTCAGACTTTACATATTTCATTTATCGATCTCTCCACGAAAGGAATGTTTTAAACTATAACCATCACGGCCTTCTGGGAGTGCATCATTGATTCAGTGCAAGCCACCTATGGACCCTTATTGGTGAACAGCGTCTCAACAGCAGCCGGGCTTGCTTCAACCCACGGTTATGAACCTCCAGACGTGAATCAACAAGGAGCATTTATCGTCCTAGTTTGACAAAGTCTCTGTCAACACGTAATACAAAATTATAATTCGTGTTGTAGAGAATGTATCTCCTCTACGTGTAGCGTTTAAGCGGTACGCCTTGTAACTGTTGGATGATCCGAGCGTGCTCCCTATTGCATGCTCCCTACTCCAGAGGCAGATACTTCCTTGAAACACAAAAGTACCCTTTGAGCTGTATCACAAGAATAACGGGTCTAACCTGAGTAATCTCTACAGGCTACTTACAAACACACACACACACTTTGCCCCAACATCACTTATTCGATGTTTGACCCTCAGACAAAATGTTCAATGTACGCGCACAATCAGACAAGTATTCATTCTAAACTACTGACAGGCATATTGACAAAATTGAATAACTGCAGTGAAACTTACTGCATCGGTAAAGTCACGGAGAAATAAATTAAATAACAGAATACGACGTTTCGATTGGAATACAAGCAACCATCATCAGGTGCAACAAGTGAATGAGAAAACATAGTGAACTTAGAAATATAATGCAACACAACACAGAGTCGGCCAACACAACAGTCAACACCCTACCTGGTTGATTACGTTCTTCCAAAATTGAACAATTTAGTTTAGATAACATCTTATTAACAAGGAGCTATTTAAAGAATGCACCCTCTACTGAACAGTGGATGTAAAACACACAATTATGCAATTCAAAACGAGTAGGCCTTTGCATGCTGGCGTCTGGGTCAAAATGTAGCAAATTCTAAACATTACCTACAAACTCCACAACTGAGATGCCACATCAACCATCGCCCCCTACTGACAGGCTCTTGTCCACACGCAGGCCGGTGCAGGGCCACCACCTTGTGCCACACAGGGGCAGCTGCCACTTGGGGTGCTCCTCGAGTGTTTGAGACGAGATACGATACAAAACTCCGAGTTGCTGAGCGGATTAAGTAAGCACCATGTAAAAGCAATTATAACAGAGTGAATGCTTGGGAGCTTATTGGCTCTCGCTCCTGGTTAGAGATCTACCCAACACACAGGTCCACAAAGACTGGCCGCTCTTACCCTGCAGGTTGCACCTAGGAACTGAGTGTTCAACTTCACATTCTTGTCATTAAAGGCCTGTGACAAAGGTGCATCTATTGGAGCGACATCGTCTCAAGCTTACACATCTACCGGGTCTCCATTTGACTTCGTGTTGTCTCAGAGGAAGTCCACCCACACCTCCACTTCCACAAACTGCTGGGAGTTCCCTCGCTCTGCCTCACAGTCAGAATTCTCCTCCTGCTTCACGTTGCCTCCATCGATGTGAAGGTCACATTTTGGACTTGAATCTTCATCTTCACATTTTACCTTCACTTCTTCACATTTCACCATCACTTCTTCACATTCCACCTTCACCTCTTCACATTTCACCTCGATACCTTTAAAAGTGTCCAAGCTGGGATTTTCTTCCGGTTCTTGTTTCACGAGGAATGGGCTCATTGCAGCACTTTGACTTTCACAAGCTGTCTTCAGACTCCAGTCCTTGTGGATCTTCTGACGCTTGTGTGTTCTCTGGTGTACTTGAAGACGTGTTGACCGTGTAAATGCCTTCCCACACAGAGTGCACTTGAAGAGTTTCTCTCCCGTGTGTGTTCTCTGGTGTTTTTTAAGATGTGATGACCGTGTAAATGCTATCCTGCACGGAGTGCACTTGAAGAGTTTCTCTCCCATGTGTATTCTCTGGTGTGCTTGAAGATTTGATGACTGTGTAAATGCCTTCCCACACACAGTGCACTTGAAGGGTTTCTCTCCTGTGTGTGTTCTCTGGTGTTTTATAAGAGAAGATGACTGTGAAAATGCCTTCCCACACACAGTGCACTTGAAGGGTTTCTCTCCCGTGTGTGTTCTCTGGTGTATTTTAAGATAAGATGACCGTGAAAACGCCTTCCCACACACACTGCACTTGAAGGGTTTCTCTCTTGTGTGTGTTCTCTGGTGTTTTTTAAGATCTGATGACTGTGCAAATGCCTCGTCACACACAGTGCACTTGAAGGGTTTCTCTCCTGTGTGTGTTCTCTGGTGTGCTTGAAGATTTGGTGACTGTGCAAATGCCTTCCCACACACACTGCACTTGAAGGGTTTCTCTCCCGTGTGTGTTCTCTGGTGTATTACGAGATGATGTAAAAGAGAAAACGTCTTCCCGCACAGAGTACACTTGAAAGGTTTCTCTCCTGTGTGTGTTCTCTGGTGTCTTTTAAGATTATTTGACTGTGAAAATGCCACCCCACACACACTGCACTTGAAGGGTTTCTCTCCCGTGTGTGTTCTCTGGTGTTTTACGAGATGATGTAAAAAAGAAAAAGCCTTCCTGCACAGAGTACACTTGAAAGGTTTCTCTCCTGTGTGTGTTCTCTGGTGTCTTTTAAGATTATTTGACTGTGAAAATGCCACCCCACACACACTGCACTTGAAGGGTTTCTCTCCCGTGTGTGTTCTCTGGTGTTTTACGAGATGATGTAAAAAAGAAAAAGCCTTCCTGCACAGAGTACACTTGAAAGGTTTCTCTCCTGTGTGTGTTCTCTGGTGTCTTTTAAGAGTAGATGACTGTGAAAATGCCTTCACACACACACTGCACTTGAAGGGTTTCTCTCCTGTGTGTGTTCTCTGGTGCTGTGTCAAATTTCCAGTCCGCTCCGTGCTGTATCCACGCTGGTCGCATTGTTGCCTTGCCGTACCGAGCTGTGCTGACTGCCTTTGCTCCATCAGACCAAGCGACAGCTGTAGACAGAAAAAAATAATATCCACACCACCTACACGTCAGTGTCGAGGCACAGATGAATGCAAAAACACAGTCACACGTGACTTACAGGTCTATACTTATTCATATATTCATGATGTCGTGAAAAAGTTTCCCAAATTCATCACACAGGCTGTTATTGCACACAATGAGAGGGCAAATGGTCATAAACATGCCTGGAAGCCCTCGTATCTCCGTGCTGAGATGTTAACTACCTCGCCTGGTATACAGGAAGTAGTGGGTTCGATCCCGACCCTGACACCTGCTGCTGTATATTTGGAATTTGCGTGTCTCTCTCTCTCTCCGTGGTGAGATGTTAACTACCTCGCCTGGTATACAGGAAGTAGTGGGTTCGATCCCGACCCTGACACCTGCTGCTGTATATTTGGAATTTGCGTGTCTCTCTCTGCGTGGTGAGATGTTAACTACCTCGCCTGGTATACAGGAAGTAGTGGGTTCGATCCCGACCCTGACGCCTGCTGCTGTATATTTGGAGTTTGCGTGTCTCTCTCTCTCCGTGGTGAGATGTTAACTACCTCGCCTGGTATACAGGAAGTCGTGGGTTCGATCCCGACCCTGACGCCTGCTGCTGTATATTTTGAGTTTGCGTGTCTCTCTCTCTCCTTGGTGAGATGTTGACTACCTCACCTGGTATACAGGAAGTCGTGGGTTCGATCCCGACCCTGACGCCTGCTGCTGTATATTTGGAGTTTGGTGTCTCTCTCTCATCATCATCACGGTGGCTAGGAGATGTTAACTACCTCGCCTGGTATACAGGAAGTCGTGGGTTCGATCCCGACCCTGACGCCTGCTGCTGCTGTATATTTGGAGTTTGCGTGTCTCTCTCTCTCCGTGGTGAGATGTTAACTACCTCACCTGGTATACAGGAAGTCGTGGGTTCGATCCCGACCCTGACGCCTACTGCTGCTGCTGTATATTTGGAGTTTGCGTGTCTCTCTCTCCGTGGTGAGATGTTAACTACCTCGCCTGGTATACAGGAAGTCGTGGGTTCGATCCCGACCCTGACGCCTGCTGCTGTATATTTGTAGTTTGCGTGTTTCTCTCTCCGTGGTGAGATGTTAACTACCTCACCTGGTATACAGGAAGTCGTGGGTTCGATCCCGGCCCTGACGCCTGCTGCTGCTGTATATTTGGAGTTTGCGTGTTTCTCTCTCTCCGTGGTGAGATGTTAACTACCTCGCCTGGTATACAGGAAGTCGTGGGTTCGATCCCGACCCTGACGCCTGCTGCTGTATATTTGGAGTTTGCGTGTCTCTCTCTCTCTCCGTGGTGAGATGTTAACTACCTCGCCTGGTATACAGGAAGTTGTGGGTTCGATCCCGACCCTGACGCCTGCTGCTGCTGTATATTTGGAGTTTGCGTGTCTCTCTCTCTCTCCGTGGTGAGATGTTGACTACCTCGCCTGGTATACAAGAAGTCGTGGGTTCGATCCCGACCCTGACGCCTGCTGCTGTATATTTGGAGTTTGCGTGTCTCTCTCTCTCTCCGTGTTGAGATGTTGACTACCTCACCTGGTATACAGGAAGTCGTGGGTTCGATCCCGACGCTGACGCCTGCTGCTGCTGTATATTTGGAGTTTGCGTGTCTCTCTCTCTCCGTGGTGAGATGTTAACTACCTCACCTGGTATACAGGAAGTCGTGGGTTCGATCCCGACCCTGACGCCTGCTGCTGCTGTATATTTGGAGTTCGCGTGTCTCTCTATCTCTCCGTGGTGAGATGTTAACTACCTCGCCTGGTATACAGGAAGTCGTGGGTTCGATCCCGACACTGACGCCTGCTGCTGTATATTTGGAGTTTGCGTGTCTCTCTCTCCGTGGTGAGATGTTGACTACCTCACCTGGTATACAGGAAGTCGGGGTTCGATCCCGACCCTGACGCCTGCTGCTGCTGTATATTTGGAGTTTGCGTGTCTCTCTCTCCGTGGTGAGATGTTGACTACCTCACCTGGTATACAGGAAGTCGGGGTTCGATCCCGACCCTGACGCCTGCTGCTGCTGTATATTTGGAGTTTGCGTGTCTCTCTCTCCGTGGTGAGATGTTGACTACCTCGCCTGGTATACAGGAAGTCGTGGGTTCGATCCCGACCCTGACGCCTGCTGCTGCTGTATATTTGGAGTTCGCGTGTCTCTCTATCTCTCCGTGGTGAGATGTTAACTACCTCGCCTGGTATACAGGAAGTCGTGGGTTCGATCCCGACACTGACGCCTGCTGCTGTATATTTGGAGTTTGCGTGTCTCTCTCTCCGTGGTGAGATGTTGACTACCTCACCTGGTATACAGGAAGTCGGGGTTCGATCCCGACCCTGACGCCTGCTGCTGCTGTATATTTGGAGTTTGCGTGTCTCTCTCTCCGTGGTGAGATGTTGACTACCTCACCTGGTATACAGGAAGTCGGGGTTCGATCCCGACCCTGACGCCTGCTGCTGCTGTATATTTGGAGTTTGCGTGTCTCTCTCTCCGTGGTGAGATGTTGACTACCTCGCCTGGTATACAGGAAGTCGTGGGTTCGATCCCGACCCTGACGCCTGCTGCTGCTGTATATTTGGAGTTTGCGTGTCTCTCTCTCCGTGGTCGCGTGGATTTTCCTCCGGATCTCCCGGGTTTCCCCTCCACATTTAAAGTCAACATCAGCACGCGTTCAGCGTCTTTGACCGATACACATTTTCACACGTATTCTTGGTTCTTTCGGTAAAGTCACGTAGATAGACAATAACAACAGATAATAACATCAAATAAATGCCACTTGATCGAAACGTCGTGGGGTTTTTTTATTTATTTACAATTTTGTTTACTTTTATTCATTTTATTATGTTATTTTTATTAAATTTTCTATCTCCGTGACTTCACCGAAAGAACCAAGAATATGAATTGCTGCAGTTACGAAAGTTTTAAGTCAAAACATTGAGACACGCGTTGACAAAACCCACCTTGTTGTTGTTGTGGGCAGGTAGCTTCTGTAAACAAGAGCGGTACAGCAGCTCAGGCGGGCTTGGGCTGGTAAAAAAACGAAAAAAAAAACTGCGTCAATATCTACAATAAACCAAAGTGACAAAGTAGCGAGCCGCGTGAAGACAAATTAAACTTAAGGGAGGGAATTAAAGCAAACGCGACCAGGCGAGGGCAGGAGGCAAGGCCCCGCGTGTCTAGGCCCCGCGTTGTAAAGTTCCAACTTGGACATCGATTCACAAGCTGCTGCTGCTCTAGTGACATCCCTACGAGAGAGAGAGCGAGGCTCTAGCTTGGTAAACAACAACAACAACCACAACAACAACCACAACAACAACCGCGATGAGAATTTCTCACCTCGGATTTCACTGCACGCGCGAAGCTGCAGCTCGTGACGTCACGCGGCAGCAGGTGACATGACGTCACTCTCGGGGTACAAGCAACAGCCCCTCCAAAACGAGTGGCTACTCTAACTGACGTCATTAATACATTATGTTAATGTATTGCGATCGAAACGTGGGTTTTTTGCTTTAATGTATAATAAAATATTTATTTTATTATTATGTATAATAAAATAAATATTCAATGTTTTATTTTGTTAAAAAAAATAGGTATTTTCGCATGAGCAAAATTTTTTTATTATTATTATATTTTATTTTTATGATAAAACATAATAAATAAATATTTTTTTACGTATAATGAAATAATTCTTTTCTTTTAATTATAAAACATATTAAAATAATTATTTGATTATGTAAAATGAAATAGTCATTTTATTATATTTTGAGAGAGTCACGTGGTGTCTGTGGTGCAATGGGTAGCGCGGCTGCCTGCAGAGTAGAAGGTTGTAGGTTCGATTCCTGCCGGGCTCGATATGTATATTTTTTATAAGTATTTTTTATTTCTCGTCACATCTCTAACGTCTTAAAGGGGCTTTAAAACAGCAAAATTGAGGGCGACAAGAGGTCAAGCTGGTTCACCAATGTGAACATGTCACCAACAATAACGCCAGACGTTACATTTATAATTTGATTTTTTTAAAAATATTCCTCGTGGAGGATGCTGGCGTCGATCCAGCAACCTAAACAGAGGTCAGTGTACTTAGTGGCGTGCTCACGCCACCAGGTGCGCTGATCTCTCCGTAGCATCGTGAGGGTCCCAGTGTCGTTGGTATCGTGCAAGCTGTGTGTGTCATCTTCTTGGTTCTTTCGGTAAAGTCACGTAGAATGGAAATAATAAAAATAAAACATAATAAAATAATTATTTTATTATGTATAATAAAATAATTATTTTATAATAAAATAATTATTTTTTTATGTATAATGATTATTTTATTATGTATAATAATTATTTTATTATGTATAATATAATAATTATTTTATTATGTTTTAATTTTATTATTGGCTCAGATGGTAGCGCGCTCGAGAAAAGAGAAGTGAACACATCTCAAATGCACGTCCAGTACAAGGATAGACGGTGTGAAATGTCTTACTGACAACACAGAGCTCGCTAACACACACAACTGGCACGCTAGTAACTACACTTGAGCCCTCTCGATGCCAATAAGAGTTTAGTGTACCTGGTAGCGTGAGCACGCTAACAGATGCACTGATCTCTTTGATGTTTAGGTCGCCGGATCGATTCCCGCATCCTCCACGAGGAATATTTTTTTTTATCAATTTTTTAATGTAACGTCCATCGTTCACATTGGTGAACCAGCTTGACCTCTTGTCGTCCTCGATGTTGCTGTTTTGAAGCCCCTGTTAAGACGTTAGAGATGTGACAACAACAACAACAACAATAAGACAACTTAGATTAAGGCCATCAGTCTAACTCTGTACTACAACAAACTAACTGGCTAAACCACTACACTTTTCGAAATCACCAAAATAAAGCCATGAAAGCAAAATTTCGATCAACAATGTTTCTTTTAATAAACAGCAAATCCCAATCAAGCGGTCAGTGCCTTGCCCAATGGACTCACCAAATGTGCAACGTTTTCTATTTGAATAAATGTAAAACAAGTATAACCCGTAAAAACAAAGTTTTTCACTCTAAATCCTTTATATGCGTGGCGGCTAGAGTCCTCTCGTCCTCTGGCTTGAGATGGCTGCCACCTATGGGTCAGATGATTGGCTGCAGTATTAAGCAATTGGTAATTAAATATTTAATTAGTTTTCCCTAAACAGTGTAAAATTTTTGACATTTTTTAACGAACATTAATTGTCTCGCACAACGAGTCTGTGTGCAAAATGTCAGCTCGATTGGATCACGGGAAGTGGGTTAAAAAACGACCGAAAGATTTGCACGGTCGTAAGCAAGCACGCAAGCGCGCAAGCACGCAAGCAGGCGAACTTAATATAAAGAATTTAAAAATATATTCGCCTGTGGAGGACGCGGGGATCGAACCCGCGACCTCTCGCACGGGAAGCGAGACTGCGCCACTCGCCCAGTGCGTGAAGGTGTCACGCGCTGGGCTCCTACACGGTGACGTTCAGCCACATCCATGATGAGTTCCAGATGTGAAGCTTTCGTGACTGCAATGATTCATACTCTTAGGCTTTTTTCGGTCAAGTCGTTTATTAAATTGTAGATTTGAAGCTTTCGTGACTGCAATGATTCATACTCTTAGTTTTTTTCGGTCAAGTCGCTTATTAAATTGTAGATTTGAAGCTTTCGTGACTGCAATGATTCATACTCTTAGGCTTTTTTCGGTAAAGTCGCTTATTAAATTGTAGATTTGAAGCTTTCGTGACTGCAATGATTCATACTCTTAGGCTTTTTCGGTAAAGTCGCTTATTAAATTGTAGATTTGAAGCTTTCGTGACTGCAATGATTCATACTCTTAGGCTTTTTTCGATCAAGTCGCTTATTAAATTGTAGATTTGAAGCTTTCGTGACTGCAATGATTCATACTCTTAGGCTTTTTTCGGTAAAGTCATTTATTAAAGCAAAAAACCCACGACGTTTAGATCGCAAAACATTAACATAATTTATTAATGACGTCCGTTAGAGTCGCCACTCGTTGTGGGAGGGGCTGTTGCTGGTACCCCGGGAGTGACGTCATGTCACCTGCTGCCGCGTGACGTCACAAGCTGCAACTTCGCGCGTGCAGTGAAATCTGAGGTGAGAAATTCTCATCGTTGTGGTTGTTGTGGTGGTTGTTGTTGTGGTTGTTGTGGTTGTTGTTGTTTACCAAGCTAGAGCCTCGCTCTCTCTCTTGTAGGGAAGTCACTAGAGCCGCAGCAGCTTGTGAATCGATGTCCAAGTTGGAACTTTACAACGCGGGGCCTAGACACGCGGGGCCTTGCCTCCTGCCCTCGCCTGGTCGCGTTTGCTTTAATTCCCTCCCTTAAGTTTAATGTCTTCACGCGGCTCGCTACTTTGTCACTTTGGTTTATTGTAGATATTAACGCAGTTTTTTTTTCAGTTTTTTTTACCAGCCCAAGCCGGCTTGAGCTGCTGTACCGCTCTTGTTTACAGAAGCTACCTGCCCACGACACAAGGTGGGTGGGTGGGGTTTTGTGAACGCATGTCTCGGTGTTTTGACTTAAAACTTTCGTAACTGCAGCAATTCATATTCTTGGTTCTTTCGGTAAAGTAACGTAGATAGAAAATTTAGTAAAAATAACAGATAATAAATGAATAAAAGTAAACAAAATTGTAAATAAATAAAAAAAACCCCACGACGTTTCGACAACACAAATGGCATTTATTTGATGTTATTATCTGTTGTTATTGTCTATCTACGTGACTTTACCGAAAGAACCAAGAATACGTGTGGAAATGTGTATCGGTCAAAGACGCTGCACGCGTGCTGATGTTGACTCTAAATGTGGAGGGGAAACCCGGGAGATTCGGAGGAAAATCCACGCGACCACGGAGAGAGAGACACGCAAACTCCAAATATACAGCAGCAGCAGCAGGCGTCAGGGTCGAGATCGAACCCACGACTTCCTGTATACCAGGCGAGGTAGTTAACATCTCACCACGGAGAGAGAGAGACACGCAAACTCCAAATATACAGCAGCAGGCGTCAGGGTCGGGATCGAACCCACGACTTCCTGTATACCAGGCGAGGTAGTTAACATCTCACCACGGAGAGAGAGAGAGAGACACGCAAACTCCAAATATACAGCAGCAGGCGTCAGGGTCGGGATCGAACCCACGACTTCCTGTATACCAGGTGAGGTAGTTAACATCTCACCACGGAGAGAGAGACACGCAAACCCCAAATATACAGCAGCAGGCGTCAGGGTCGGGATCGAACCCACGACTTCCTGTATACCAGGCGAGGTAGTTAACATCTCACCACGGAGAGAGAGAGAGAGACACGCAAACTCCAAATATACAGCAGCAGGCGTCAGGGTCGGGATCGAACCCACGACTTCCTGTATACCAGGTGAGGTAGTTAACATCTCACCACGGAGAGAGAGAGACACGCAAACTCCAAATATACAGCAGCAGGCGTCAGGGTCGGGATCGAACCCACGACTTCCTGTATACCAGGCGAGGTAGTTAACATCTCACCACGGAGAGAGAGAGAGAGACACGCAAACTCCAAATATACAGCAGCAGGCGTCAGGGTCGGGATCGAACCCACGACTTCCTGTATACCAGGTGAGGTAGTTAACATCTCACCACGGAGAGAGAGACACGCAAACCCCAAATATACAGCAGCAGGCGTCAGGGTCGGGATCGAACCCACGACTTCCTGTATACCAGGCGAGGTAGTTAACATCTCACCACGGAGAGAGAGAGAGAGACACGCAAACTCCAAATATACAGCAGCAGGCGTCAGGGTCGGGATCGAACCCACGACTTCCTGTATACCAGGTGAGGTAGTTAACATCTCACCACGGAGAGAGAGACACGCAAACCCCAAATATACAGCAGCAGGCGTCAGGGTCGGGATCGAACCCATGACTTCCTGTATAACAGGCGAGGTAGTTAACATCTCACCACGGAGAGAGAGAGAGAGACACGCAAACTCCAAATATACAGCAGCAGGCGTCAGGGTCGGGATCGAACCCACGACTTCCTG